TTTTGGAAAGGGTATGGTTGAATTAAGGGTATTTTCAATAATTTCCCCTTCATTCGGCTTCCTCTTCCATTTTGTTTTCTTTCTTTTGTATCTTTTTTCTCTCTCTTTTCATTACATTTTTCTTTTGATTTTCTTGGCATTTTTGGGGCCAAGCCAAAATTACAAGGATAAGCAATTAAGGAGTTGGAGAAAATATTGGGAAAATCAAGAGTTAGACATTTTCAACTTCACAAATCCAACCAAAAGGGTTTTTTTTTCTATCATCTTGTATTTTCTCCATTATTTTGCCAAACTTGTAATGTGTGTGTGTGTGTGTGTGTGTGTATATATATATATATATTATCATATATTTAACACAGGCTAATTCTTGTGTTGTGATTTATGGTATTAGCTAGACTTAGCTTTAATTAATTTTAATATTTGTTCTTTAATGTTAAGTTACTTATTTTCATGTGTTTTTACTATTATTATTATTATTATTATTGTTATTGCATTTTCATATGGTTAATGAATGATTATATTTTATGATTTATACATCATTCTAGAGAAGATTGTGCATTTAGACCAAATAGTAAAAACTCTAGATTTGTGTAAGGGATATATACCTTTAACCCTAGGTGACCAATTGAGCTATTTTCACAAAGATTTAATGTGGTTGTTTGATTTTAATCGACATAGAGATATAGTAGGTTAAACCAATTAATTGAGGTTAATTTCGCTCGAAAGATGTAATGCTAAAATTGGAAAATCTGGTTTAACATCATAAATGAGTAATATGTTAATTAGTTTTTGGAGATATTAATTAAGCGACGGCTAAACGAAACTATGAATCTTAACCACGTTTTCCTTCGAAATTTTCAAGATTTTTTGTTTTCTTATTTTGTAGATTTTTAGTCATCTTTCACATTTTCAAATCAAAATATTTATTGCATGTGTGTTTCATTGTTAAAATTAAATTAATTAAAGTTGTGTAATCGAAAATAAACATTTCTCAAGAGATTAATAATTTAGACTCAAAAGGTCCACTTTATTATTTGAACGTAACCCGTGCACTTGCGGGTTGCACTTCATGGCGATGATGCAGTTGTCATCGTGCTCAGGGCGCAGTGGTCATCGTTATTGCGCAACGATTCTTTTTTTTGGATCTGATTTTGCGATGGTTATGCAATGATTTTGAATTTGGTTTTGCGATAGTTGTGCAATGATTTTGGATCTGATTTTGTGGTGATCGTAGAGTGATTTTGGGGTGAGTTTTGTTAGTGGTGGTGGTTGTGGTGCTGGCTATGGTGGTGATACTGGTGAGGTTGTGGTGATGTGGTGGGGTGGGAAGAATAGTGTTTGTGACCAATAAATTGGTTAATTTGTGATCAATAAATAATATATTATCTTTGTAATATATAATTTGTAATTAATAAATAATACGTGATCTAAAAAAATGTGAAATTTCGACTAAATTCGTAATCATGTCTCACAATTTGGTAAGTTGTGACTAATTAATTAAATAATTTGTGATTGAGAAATAAATATGATCAATTATTTTGATAATTTGTAACCGTGAAATAAGTTGCGACTTACAAAATTTATAATTTGTAACTGAAAAATAATATGTAACCTATTAATTTAATAATCTGTTATTGATAAATAAATTGTGATCTATAAAATTTGTGTTTTGTGATTGAGAAATAATACGTGATCTATTAATTTGATAATATATAACCAATAAAAAAAATAGGAATATATAAAATTTGTGATTTGTAACCGAGATATAATATGTGCATTAATTTGATAATTTGTACCTGATAGAATTTATTATTTGTGATTGTGACATCTATAATTGTAACTACTTCGTAACTATGACTATAAATTGTATAATACTGTGATCTTAATATATTTAATTAATAAAATATTATTTATTTAATTAAGATCCGATTTTTGAAATATTAAACCTAATTTCTTTATTTTGAAATTGTATTTTGCAATTACCTCATATATGTAATGTTCCATTTTCAAAAGCTCGTGGCATGTTCTCTTTACTGTTTTCAGGTTATTTTCAATTTTCGAAAACACAAAAAACACGTTTACTTACATATTTTCAGAAATGAATTTTCAAAAACGAGTTTAAAATTTACAAAGAAAACGGAAAAAGCCAAAAAAGTCGTTTTTGTTGTTTTCAATTAAAACTAAGTCAAAACTTCATTTTTTTATTTTTGAAAACAATTTTTCAAAATGACAAAAAGAACGCGTTTTCAACAATCTCAAAATGAACACTCAAAACACAAAACTCAAAACGAATTCAAAATTCAAAACTAAAAATTGAAATACGAAGAGACTAGCCCCTCATTTTTCCAAAACATGTTTTAAACCAAACATTCTCCTATAAAATAATTTTAAATATAATCTCCAAAAAATAACTATTTCAAATACACTTTCTCTCAAAAAAATGGTTCTCAAACAGTTACTAAATTTTAAATTTCACCAAGGCTATAAAAAAGTAATTACATAGGAAAAAGAAAGAGAAAAAAAAGCTAAATATGAAAAGAAAAAGAAATTGATTCGTTCGTTGTCTGATAAATCACAATGACTCTCCTTTGTCGAGTGTTGCATAATAGCATTGTCCCCTTTGCTGGCTTTCCTCTGCTTTCACTTCCCTCTTTCATATACACTTTGCCCTCTGCCCAAAAATAATGGCCACCATTCTCACATTCCTTCTCGTCGCCACCTTCCTTCGGCCGCTTGCCACCGCCAAATCCACCATTGAACCCTGCTCAAACTTCGACACCTGCAGCGCTCTTGTCGGCTATTCCCTCTACACCGACCTCAAAGTTTCCGAACTCGCCTCCATTTTCTCCGTCGACCCTATTTCTCTCCTCCTTGTCAATGCCATCGACATCTCCTACCCCGACGTTGAAAATCACATCCTGCCGGCGGGACTCTTTATCAAGACACCCATTTCATGTTCTTGCGTCGACGGCATTCGGAAGTCATCGTCCACCGTCTATAAAACTCGTCCTTCCGACACTTTGGCATCCATCTCCGCCGTCATTTACGGTGGCCTTGTGTCGGCCGACCAAATCAAAGGGGCGAACCCCAAGGCCGCACTGTCGGACCCTTCTGTGTTGAATATTGGGACCAAGCTCAATATCCCACTTCCATGTACTTGTTTCGATAACAAGGACAACGATTTGCCCACTATTTATATGTCTTACTTGGTGACACCTACGGATACGCTCATGGGATTAGCAGCCAGGTACTGTTAATTACTTCTTCTGAAAGTTACCCATATTATAATTTATAAATAGAGTTGTGATCTGCTGTCTAATTTTTGCTATTCATTTTACTGTTCATTCAATTAATTATTGATACATCACTTTTAATAAATATGTCATCAATTTGGTAGGTTAGAAGTGAAATTAATGAGAATAAATTTGAGATGGCGAGGTACTGTTAATTATTTCTTCTAAAAGTTACATGTATTATAAATAGAGTTGAGATTTGCTGTCTAATTTTTGCTGTTCAGTTTGCTGTTCATTTAATTAATTATTGATACATCACTTTAAGAGCTTGTTTGGGAAGGATTAAAATCCAATTAAAATTGAAAATATATCCGTTATTGGGTCCCACTCGTCTAATAAAAGTCAACAATAACGGCTAGTTTTTTAATTTTAATTCGATTTTAATCTCTACCGAACACGCCATTAGTTACAAATTCATCAAAACCAATACTCTCATTTTTATTATGATTTTAATCCCTTCCAAACAAGTTCTAAATAAATATGACATCAATTTGGTGGGTTAGAAGTGAAATTAATGAGAATAAATTTGAGATGATGTGTTAATTTTAAAATGACATATCAATAATTAATTGGATAAATTGCAAATTGGATAGCAGATCTCAACTCATATGTATGGATATATAGCTCAAGTTTGAGAGAAATTAATATTAAAATTTTAATCTAAATCATAGTCCGTAATTTATTTTAACTATCTATTTCATATGATATATAACTTTTCAACCGCACATTTCATCAACTTTTATCGTTAAGACCAAATAAACTGGTGTTAAACAGGTACGCTACTACTTTGACAGATCTTATGAATGTGAATGCATTGGGGAGCCCTGCGATTGAGGAGGGTGATAACACTACTACTTTGACAGATCTTATGAATGTGAAAGCAGTGGGAAGCCCTGCGATTGAGGATTGTGATATTCTGGCTATTCCATTGTCTGGTAAGAATGATTAATTCTACCATCAACTCTCGCGGTTCCATTTTCAATCATATATTCTCCAAAAAAATAATATTACACGTAAATCGAAAGTTTTTTTTTCCATTTTAAACAACACATTATTCAAAAATCACTATTAAAAAAAGCATTTTTTCTATCAAAATGTGACTCAAATAAGGACTATATTAATGGCGCAATGCCTCACTCAGATATTAATGGTAAAAAATTATGTTATAAATTTGTTTTGAACATTTATTTCTCTTGAATATTCTTTTCACTAATATTTTGTTCGTCACACAAAAATTGGATTTTCATTTAAAATATTTTTTCATAATTGTTTTACGTGAAATTCAATAAATAAATGATTGTTAATCTATTCCAAAAAATAATTTCAACCACAAAACACAATCAATTTCAATAAGCAAATGACAAAGTCCAATATTGAGGGCGTGTTCGGTAGAGATTAAAATTGGATTAAAATTGAAAAATTAGTCGTTATTGTTGACTTTTATTAGACGAGTGGGACCCAATAACGATCATATTTTCAATTTTAATTAGATTTTAAGATATACCGAACAGACCCTGATTGTGTTCACTTCTATAGTCTTTAATAAATGACAACTTGGTGCCAACAACAACACAATTGACTCAAATTATATATTTACATTATCAATTTAATTGTTAATGGATAAACATATATATGTAGATAGACAAGACCTAGTAATGCACAAAAGTTATAAAGTAGGAATCTAATTTATTGAGCAGAGAGCAGGACCTCAATTTTCTAACAAATAAGTTGCTGAAATGATCATATACCTCAATAAAGTTGATAAAAATAGAAAACTATAATGACCATATGTCCATAACAAAAATTTAATCATCAATTGCTCCATTAAATAAAAAAGAAAAAAAAAAAAGAAAGCTAAACTGTTCTAAAAGCAGTTGGGTCAAAAAAAAAAAGGCAATCGAGTCAAAGCATGAACAACGAAGGATCTCTTTTCAGGTCAATTTTTTTTTTTTTTTTGACGTAGGAACCCGCAGCCGCTACTTACTAGCGGAGCCCCGACCACTGTGAGTGTGCACTAAGTAAACCCATGAATTGGCTCCATAAAAAAAAAGTTAAAACAATTCTAAAAGCAGTTGGGTCAAAAAAAAAAAAAAAGGCAATCGAGTCAAAGCACGAACAACAAAGGATCTCTTTTGAGGCGTCTGGCGTTGAAGTGGAGAAAAAATGTGGTCAATCGCTTGCATCGATGCACGTGAGCTAAGTAGAAAAAGGGAATTATTTAGTAAAAATGACGAAACTAAATCTTGGATGGTTGGATTTATATCATTCTATGCTAGAGAGCAAAAGAAAGTGTTGCATGGTTGGATTTGTTTTGGAGTATATATTGTCTGAAGTAGTGATTTCTTAACTGGATTATGGTTGGCTTCATATATATTTCCTGCAATGCTGTAACGACGTTTATTTAGCAAAATTATTAACTTATCAGTGGCAGATTATGTCGTTTTTAATCTTTTTCCTTTCGCATATTACTAATTTACTGCTCTTCCCACCGATATCGTTTCTCTCTCAATATTGCATATAGGAAGGGGAAGTGTCTTTACATGTCTCTTTTGTTCTCTCAGCCATCAGCCAATACTGCGCTTAATTTTTGGCTTGAAAACATACTGAATTTAAGTCTCTAAATTTGCAGCTTGTGCCTCCAATTTTCCAAGATATGCTTCAGATTACGGCTTGTTTGTGCCAAATGGGAGTTATGCTATAGCAGCTAGTCATTGTGTGCAGTGCAGTTGTGGGCCGGGGAGTCGCAGGTGATCAACCAACTTCTGATACATTTGCTTCTATTATTACAAAGGGTCCATTTACACAACTTTTGTTTTTACTTTTGCTTTACGTAGAAGAGCTTTTGGAGAAAGTTATCTTAATTTTTGTTTGAAAACTAATTTTTAAAAACATTTTCTATTCAAGAAGTGATTTTAGAGGAAGCTACAATGTACCTGCTTCTTCTAAAAGCTTTTCGCCTTTTCCAATTACAAGAAGCAATTTCATAAAATTAGTCAAACGGGTTCAAAAGAAATTTTTGAGTCTCGAAAGCTCATTTTAGCCTTTCAAAAGGTATGCCAAACGGCCCTAAATCACATTCCTGCAAAAGGGGTTCTAACTTGGAGTAAAATTTTATGCAGTTTGTACTGCATGCCGACTTCGTTGGCAGTTTCTTGTTCGAGCATGCAATGCAAAAGGAGTAATCTCATGCTCGGAAATGTCACCTCACAGAGTACTAGTGCAGGTTGCAAAGTGACTTCTTGCAGTTATGATGGCTTTGTGAACGGAACCATCATCACCTCGTATGCGCCGACCTAATATTTAGTTCACCCTCCCCATGTTTTTTTTTTTTTTTGCGGATTTGCAAATTTCCGGCTGTCGTTTACTTAAACTATTGTATTTTCTATATGCAGGTTGTCCACATCTCTTCAACCTAGATGTCCAGGTAAATATGTCAGTCAAGTGGTTCTATTTATGTACCCACCTACACACCATAGAGTCTAAACATAAAAGTAATGCTATTTATAGTAAAAACTAATGTAGTCGTACTATGTGACATACATGTAACAGTTTGTTATTTCATGCATGAGGCAATAAAAACTATTGCATTAATGTATCAAATAACAAATTGTCACATGTATGCCATATAGGACGACTACCAATAGTCCTAACTAAGAATAGTATTATTCTAAACATAATGCACATTTGTCCCCTCGGTCGTGGATTGACCTATTATTGGGTCACTATGTAGATAAAGGATTGTTTAAGAGCCGTTTTTAGATTTATATAAACTAAGAGGCGGAATATCATCGGAGGGTGACACTGACCATGAAAATTTGTGGGATCTTGATATATATACATAATTGTTTACCTAATGGCTTAGATAATGTCAAATGACACTCTATCATTTATCAGTTAAAATACAGTCAACTTTTTCATCAATTCTTTTCATTCCACGTCATTTTATGTAATCTCTTATGTAGCATTTTTATGTACAAGTAGCATAATTCAAATCTGTGTTTGTTGATCATGTGTATTTTATATTTCGTTTTGCTTAATAGGGTTCTTGTGATTGGATTGAGGTTTAATCACCAACACCCCCCAACTGTGTTTAGTTTTCGGTATCTTATTTGACTTTTTCTTCTAAAGACTGATGACTCACTTGCATTTTTCCCCGAGTTCTATTGTAATTGACATGTCAAACAACGCTAAGAGACTCTAAGTTCTTTCGTGCTAAAGTTGGCAATCTAACCACCTCGATTTTATCATTATACTCGATGATTTCCATATTGTTGAACATTTTAATTCCATATCAAAATGCTTAATCGTGTCTTTTCTTACATTCTTGATTGCCTTAACAGGACAACAACAATTTCCTCCCCTCGTGTCTCCACCTAAAGCACTTCCAGATTCATTATTTGCTCCGACTCAGGCTCCGGCCCCGGCTCCTTCACATTCACCTTCACCTTCTGAGTCAGGTGGTTTTCCAAAGAAACACTCCAACCAGAAGCCTTCGGTGTTACCTTCGTCCGGTGCAGTGCTGGGATTTCCACCCACAAATATACCAACTGGAAATGCTTCTGTTGAATCCTCTGGGACTGGCTCCTTAGTGAACCCTTTTTCTATTATTTCAACCACATTTCTTTTAGGTTCTGTATTCAAGTTTCTACTGTCACTTCCATTTTGAGAGTTTTGTGGTGGTCTTCTGGACTTTATTTTTCTTCCTTTTAAGGGTTCACCCTTTAAACAATATTATCTGAAAATGGTATTTAAATACGCTTATAGCTTATAATTTATTTATAAGTAGATTCATGTTCGTGAAATTTGTTACCTTAAATATTTACTTATAAGCAAATAGTTCTTTATGTTTTCATAAGTTGTACTTGTAAGTAGCAAGTATATATTCAAAACATTGCCTGTTTTTAAAGTTGCAAATAGTACATTGATCCAGTTCACAACATTACCTGTTTCTCGTCTCTATATCTACAATAAAAGTAAATTCTCGTTGCTTTTTTATTAGTTCCCCTATTCCATGTGTATTTCGTTAGTTACATTTCACAAGTTTCCCGTCGGGAATAATACCATTTGAACAACTAATGATTTCCTCGACAGATATGTCTGTCTCAAGCTCACGAGCATCACCCGCAGGTGTTTCTGAATTTGTTAAAGATTTGTCATCATTGGTTTTAGTAACACGATCAAGACACTTGCCATTTTCTCGGCTAAAAGATTCTTTGACTGTTCCAATTTTGATGTTGGATGCATCGTTCGAGCAATCAGGTACACTGGCACAAAATTCAACAGCAGCAGGTTCGTTGAGATCCTGGATTTCAGAGGAAATGTGAACAGCAGAAGCAAGAACTTGAATTTTGACCTCTGAGGGAACGGGGACATCAGGTGCAGCTACACCACCAATATCATCGTTATGCTCTTCTTGCATATTTTGATGCTCGGTTGGAGCTTCAGTCAACTCCTTATCTATAAAACGAGGATTGGATAATACTAGATAACATTAATAGTGAAAGAAAAACTAAATTCTTGTCCATTATAGTCCTGTTCAATAATACATATCAAACATGTAATATATGTAAATATAAGCAAAATACCTGTAGTACCCCTTTGCCCTTCAGCGATCTGATGCTTCAGTAGTGGCTTCTGTAACATATCTGTCCCCGGGAACACCACCATACTCGTGGACCTCATTTCTCGTCTCTTCGATTCTTCTAAGGGCATGAAATGAAATTTTTTTGTCCATGTTTCGTTTAGTTCGGATATTGCGGGTATTACCATTTTCTCAACGTTAAGATCACGTAGAACCTGATGAGAAGTTTGAATGAAGCACAAAACTGCTGGAAACAACTAAAGGCCAGATGCAATCCAGAACTAATATTCAATTATCATTCCGAAAATAACACATTAGGAGAGCCAGAAAAGGCAGCCTGAGAACCCCCCCCNCCCCCCACCAAAACGCTAAGAAAAATTGGGGTTGGTTACATGAATCGTTTTCGCAACTCAATTGATTTAAAGCTAAATACAAAGGTTTAAAGTAACTTGATTCTTAACAAGCACAAATGACCATTTTAATAATGATATCCTGTCACCCACATGGACAGTCTCTTTAGATTACAAAAACATGTCCCAACAACCCAAGTATTTTCCCTAATTTATCTTCAATTGTGATATCTCCACTCTTATCTTGTTCATTCTAGTAAGACAACATATTCACCACACGATCCTCATTTCCACTCATTCATCTTGTGAACATTTTGTCTTTAAACTAAAAAGATTACGGAAAAAAAAAAAAACTCGTTTGCAATTAATTATGGATCCTATGATATGCTTCAATTACTTCTCCCAGCATCACAAACTAGGCCAAAGAACTTAGCAGCTTATTGAAGAATATGGTATCAAAGTAAAACCCCAAGACACGTACCATAGTAAATCATGCATCAACCAAAAGAAATAAAAATATACCATTTGAATTGCAGTTAGAAGCCGTCTGCACAATCCTTGACGCCTATATGTATAACGTGTTCCAATGAAGGGCATCTCTGCTAACTGACTTCCATGGATCCTATTTTTAGACATCATAAATTCCAATTGTTAGAATCGCTGTGTTTCAATTCATTTTTACCAACAAACATATGTGCACAATAAGGAACCACATCACATAATTGCCTCCTAACGGGAGCACAGAACAAGCAACTCAGAAGAAAATTCTGGGCGAGTCAGTCATTAGCCGAAACATGAATAAAAAAGCTCAATGTTCGACTGTATGTTCTCAAATTAATTTTCTGTAGACTTGAATAATGTTCAATCTCATAGATAGCTGTCCACAGATGTACAAGTATTGGACAAATATTTTCAGCATTCAGGAACTGTAGCAAGATATTATTAAAGATTGTACTTTAGATAGATAATATTGGACAGATAAAACAATTCTTCGACTGATATGACTAGGGGTTAATAAACCAGGAAATCTTAACGTAATAATGTAATCCTCCTAGCCAGACATGTCTCCCACACAGTGCCCAGATGCTTGTGGCTTTTAATTCTGCCATCTAAACCTTCTGTATCTGTTATATTGGCCCTTTTCATAGACTGGAAGAACTTCATATACTCAAATCTATTGTTCTATATCTTCATTCTAAATGGCTACAAGCAATGTTTCAGTTTTTGTTTGTCTTTATAACTCATTTGACATAGTAGTTAGAACTTACGAGGTAAATGACTTCTAGTATTATATACATAAAAAGCATGCAAGATCCTTTGTTCGTATGGGAAGAATTGACGAGATGGGCTGATAAATGGGGATAATCATTTTAGGCAGTCAAATAATTAAGTTTGCAGTCCCTTTTTTGTTATTTAAGGTAGATAACCCAACTAATAATTCTCATTTATTATCATCAAATAAATAGCAACCACCCATGGTTCTATTGAATTAGCACCACTGTCCTTGTTCGCTTTATATCATTTCCTTTGCAAGACTAGATGTCTTGCCTTGAATAATTTGAAAAATAAGTATTGTAACCTTTTACCAGAAAAATAACGAAAGATCACAAAACACGTGCTAATCACCACATAATCGGCAAGAAAATTTCTACAAAGGGCCACAGCATTACGACCAAAAAGGAATCCCATTAACTAAGCTTCCACCCTTTTGTTTACAAAACATGTCTGGACAACATATTTACATTTTGATAACTTAAAAGGAATATCAACTTTAACAATAAATCCAATTATGTAGGGAACGCACATAAATCGCAATATCTAATAAAGATCATCAACGTTTTCATCTTGGAAAATGAAGTATTAGTAGATACTCTTTAGGCAATAAAGGGTATTAAAATCAATTATAGATGACCTTATAGAAGCCGCTGCAACAAGCTCATCATCCTTCTCCAAAATAATGGTATAGAAGCCTCCAAAGTTCAGCCGTCTAAAGTTTGACCTGATAACATGTAGCACATATCAAAGATCCATTTCACTTGGTTTGCAATAAAAAAATGAATATATTAGATTGTCTGCAATGAAATTCATACATATAAATTATACTTTTTTCCTCGTAAAGTATACAACTTCAACTGCCATAGTCGTTCAGGGTATACGACACTTTTATCACTGTGCATACAACCATCAAATGAGATGTCTTAAAAAAATTTGACAGCTTTGCTTCTTCAAATATTTACACATGGAAACGAAAAATCACCAATCTAGAAAAACTTACACTACAGACCTGTGAAACTATATATCCAAAACCCTTCTTGTTGGGAAGTGAATTACAATCAAGTCTAATTAAAGAAAAATTGTAAAATAACAGCATGATTAATAGAATATTGGAGGATCTAGAGAACATGTTTTATCCAAAAGTTTCTATTTATCTCTTGCGTCTTTATTAAAATCTCCATCTATTTGGAATGGTTGCGGAAGAACATGTGATAGTTTCATTAGAAATAAACTTTAATTTGATAGAAAGTGTAGCAAGATATTTGATTTTGATGCCACTTTATGATAACACATACATTATTAATGCTATATAGTTGGAAAACAAAGGGAAAACAACTTCTAGCTCACGCAGGGAGTTGCACGAGAAGAATATCGTTTATTTATTACCCATGATGTGCCATGAACCCCAGAACTGAAGATCAATGGCTGTTTTCTCATGTTTCTTAAATGCTCAATTTTCATGCATAAATCACATAACGTGCTGAATTCGAACATAAACATAGGTGGCATGTTCGGAAAGATGGATCGAAAAGTAGTCAACAATATTTACTTGACAGTATTAAGAAAGAAAACAAAGCTAAAATATTGTTACTCTATTATTGTGTATCAAGCACGCGCAGAGTGCTTACCCGCAGCTGTAGACTACATTGTGAATCACATTTGTTTTACTTCGCTCGTCAATGATAGGCAAAAAACATTCATTCATAACAGAATATGCCACAGCTAACTTAGAATTGCTTTCAACCTCTAAAATATCACCACTAACAGAAGCATCACGACTTATATCACGCCGCTGAAGAATAGTGTAGTAATATTCTTCTTCTAGTTCCTGTCTAATCCCAAGAAGCTCACGCAAACGCTCAAAAATCTGTGCACCAACAGTATTGAATCAAATCAGTGCCAAAATAAAATTAAGAAACTAAGAGTCTAATTATCACTCAAGCTAATATATAAAGCCTAACTTGATTAATGTTATAAACATGCATATATAAGATCAGAAAGATTTCAGAAAATCACACATCCAAAATAATAATCTAATAAGTAGCAAGTGAAGGTATATATCTAAAGATATTCTCGTCACGGGCATGATAGCAAGTTTTCTATTAAACCCATCTTGTTCTCTCTTTCCATTGATCGTTAAGAATAGAATTAGGACTGCAAGATACCTAGTGGCAAACTAACTTCTCTGAAGATGTGACAACGCCAGTGAAACAAACGATTCAATGCATTGCCAAGCACATAAGCACTCAGTAAGAAGTATTTCTTGATCACAAAATTAAAGCCCACATGAACCAAATGAGCATATATCAAGCAGTCGCATGAAAAAAAGTATCTGACAAGTAAAAGTAGAATTGTGGAGGCAGGGAGTAGAAAAGGAAGCTTTAATTCACTGAACACATCTGTTTCTGTTACTTAACATGCGTGTCAGGAAAGTTATTAAGCATTTCCAATCCAGAAAAGGGCTGGTTCAGGGAAGTGCTTCAAGGAAATTCAAAAATGAACAGCAGACAATCCAACTAAATGCAGATCGAGGTCATGGGATAAATAGAGAGTTATACTCCTTATGCATTGCCCTTAAATATTCAAGACTTTACATGTTACTATCTTCATGCATAGCCTTTAAATATTCAACACTTATGACAAGAGCAGTAAGCCAATCTACATCAAAAGTCTTGAATTGATAAAGCCTCGCTAATCATCATGTAATATTGCTAGATGCTACCAAATATCAAGACTCAGCATGTATCACGTTGTGATATCACCCACTCCACCAGATGGATCTAAATTGCAAACTTCTTTAAGAAAGATATGACAAACTGTAGTTCTAACAGCAATATGACTAGTAAAAGCTGATCAAAATGCCGTCAAAGGTGGATGCATTTACATTATGTAAACATCTTGTCATCCCACCCCCCCCCCCCACCCACCCACAAAAAAAAATGATATTATACCTTTTGACATTCCCTCCCACAGAAGGATGGATTGTTGTTGTTGTTCAAAACTATATCATTACCTCCAATACAAGGAACGTGGACTGCAAAACACAAGGATAGCATATAATTAATACAAGGCCACCTGTGACATGTGATAGGAAAAAAAATTGAGTGGGGAGCATATGAGGAATTGAGAAACAATGAAGATATTGATCAATACATTTTTCCTCACACAAACGGCACATTAACAATTCAGAGACAATTGAATCGCCATTGTCATCAGTTGTATAGGCATTTCCAACAGACGCTCCACAGTATTTGCAGGAACAGTAAGCACAGTACCAATCTCCAGAGGGGACCTTCTGCAAACCAAAATGGACGAGTAAGCACTCATCTGAAACTTAGAATTAAAAATTGAGGATCAAGATATGCCAATATTTGCAGGAGTAAAGAGTACTGGTCCTTTAAATTATAATCTATTTTAGATTCAGTACTTGTTTGGGAGGGATTTTTGGGGGAAAAATTGATTTTGAATAGTGATATGATGGGAAATGTGTGGTTGAAAAAGAAGAAAAAATTATTGATGCGATGGAAAGTATTATTTTATTGAAGAATGTGTGGTTAAAAATGAGAATTGATTTACTATAGAATTTTGAGAATCCCTCCCAAATAGGGCCTCAATTAGCTTATGAAAAGATTTCCTTTTAGATACTCAACTTATCAAGCATTTAAAGTTGTGCCATAATTTGTATACAGTTTCAAAAGTCCGAAGTCTGTGTTTTAGTGGAATCACTATTCTGCAATAGACCATTGCTCAGCCAAGCAACACAGCATACTGGGGAATGCTGTGCTACAATCGTTACATGTCACCAGGTTGCATGGGGAGGCTGTTTTCAATTTTCATGTTATGCCTTGTGAGTGAAAGGCCTCAAACTAGTTCCAGTGTTTCAGAATAACTAGAGACTGACAGACAAAAATGCTAGCAAATTTTTTTAACAAGGAATATATAGACAAGGCTAACAAGGGGTTCATCTACAACAGATAGAACTCTCAAATGCAGATTAATTTGATTGTTAAAGGAACCTGCTCGATCAACTACCTTTAGAAAATGACAGTTTAACTCTAGTTGCATTAATAGAATCATATCAAACAGCTAACAATGGAAGGTGAGCATCATGAAAGGTAAAACAAGGCAGCACATTCATACTTCAATACACAAGCAGCCTTGATGAAATGTTGATGGGCAACCATCACAACAGATCAAGTTGCCACCATCCCCACAGATGTTGCACGTGTCATCATTAGGATCATCGACCTCCACGTCCACAGAAATAAATCCAATGTGGTCAGTTGCCAATTGTTTATTCCACGAATCTATGAGGCATTGTAAAAGAGAGTTTCCGGACTCTAAATATATGCATTTATATGATTCTTGAGGTCCACTTTTAGCATGAGATTCAAAGTCACGTATTGTGTGTACTTTATCACAACAACTACAGCAAATTCCATCTCTTGTAATCTTTCCCTCGAGCATCACTTTTTTATTCCTGCCTCTCTTATACTTTACCTTGCCTTCTGGAGGAACAGTTCCCAAATCAATCATCCACGCGAGCAAAGTGCGCTTCCCATCATATAGCTCATAGTCATCTGATCCCTCCCCTGGTTTACGGGCCAACAGTGTCCTTATTCTGCCCTTGCTTGAATTTGACTTGATTCTTTTACCTGATGTCTTAATCTTAGATAAAGCCCTCTTAGGAATACCTTTACCATTCTTTCCAGTACCTTTCCCTTTCTTCTTCCCCTCATCCTTCCTTACTCTGAATAGTGTGCTGAGTAACTCCTCAGGTATTGGACTAAATGCAGAAAGTTCCTTATCATCTGCTTTTCCATCTTCAATCCTCTTTTTGAGCACTATGTAAGCCAGGGTGCAGGACCAGTAAGCTCTTCCATCACGGCCAACATATACTGGATCGTTGTAATCTTTTGATTGCCTTGGCCTGTACTCAATAGTCCAACCTGCTTTCTTGAGCAGAGCAACTATTTGATCCCTCACTAATTGTTGTTGTTCCCTACGTCCCATTTCCTTTCCTTCTGCACTCTCGATTTTCTCAGATTCGCCGCGCTTAACATTGGTTCCCAAATAATTGGGATTGCTTCTTAGACTCTTTTCTCCACCATCAGTTCCAGCCTTCGCACGAGTACCACAAGCAATGCTTTTATCTATCTTGGGAGGTCTTCCAAGCCGAGCCTTACTCTTTTTATCCTTAAAAGCGACCTTAGAAATCCCATTTTCCACCTTTCGTGGTCTTCCACGACGCTTAGTCTTTTTCTCCTCAACGAGGATCTCTGCAATCCCATTCTTCATTTTGGGTGGTCTTCCCCGTCGACCCTTTGTCTTTTTCTTCTTAACAATGGCCCCTGAAATCTTTTCAATCTTGGGTGGTCTTCCACGCTTACCCTTTACTTTTTTCATACACTGGCCAGTCCCTTTACCACTCTCCTCTACATTATTCCGCTCCATTACCTCATCATCTTTCTCTTCAATGTTCGAACCACAAACCTCATTATCAACTTTTATTTTTGGGGGTCTCCCTCGTCGGCCCTTCAATTTTTTTCTTATAGGGAGAACGGGATCATCAGCTAGATCGACAACTGCTTCCGTCTCTATGACTTGCTTTTCAGCATTGTTCAAAGCCATTGTCGTCGACCTCAAAACCCTCCCCACCCTCACTGTGACGCGATTTAACCCGTCCAAAGACCCCTCCTTTTCATTACCAGGTGAATTATTCTCAGCCCTTTTTCTTTTTTTCTCAATGGGTTCCTTGTTTAGATCAAGTAAATCATCATCCTCCATTGCTCCTTTTACAGATACCCCGCTTAAAGTCAAATCCTCTTCCACCTCACCCATAAACATTAAACCTGCCCAGAAGAAGAAAAAAAAATGCATAAAACTCATAAAATTACATTATAAATTAAATCACAAATCAAACCCACAAAATAAACATGAACAATGAGGTAAAAGCAAAAAACCAATAAATTTTACCATCGACGTGTGGCAAAAATTGAACCCATGTAACACGAACAGGAGAGCTGTATCTATAGAATTTGGGTGCTTTGGCTAGAGGTGAAGAAAGAGAGAGGATTTGGGGGAGGACTATTTTCTACGGTGATTGATCGACTTGCTTGGTTTGTACTTTAGAAGGGCCGACTGTAGAGGGTAGATTTGTAATTTTGAAATATTTTCTTTTAGCTAATCCTTTTTCCCTCCAACTTTAGTATTTATTTTATTAAGAAATTTGAACTTTAGATGATGAGTTGACTATTAACTCCTTATGTAAATATTTGTTTCAAAACCGGTCGAACCATGGGAGAAGGGGTTCGGTCAGACTTTTATGGAGCGAACTTCGAAGATGTCAATGGACCGATCCAATCTGACGATTTCGATAGTAAATCCTTCTAATTGAATTCGGACGAAGTAATTTAAGAGCATGTTTGAGTCTCATTTTTTTCTCAAAAATACATTTCAGAATAATAAATTGATGAAAAATATGTAGTTAAAAATTAAGCAAAAGTTTTTTATTTGTATTATTGAAGAATGTGCGGTTGAAAAGAAGATGAAACAAATATATTTTAAAAATAATGAGATGGGCTTGTGTGGGAGGGATTAAAATCAGATTAAAATTGAAAATATAGCCGTTATTGTTGACTTTTATTAGACGAGTGGGGCCCAATAACGGTCATATTTTCAATTTTAATTGACTTTTAATCCCTTCCGAATGGGGCCTATGAAATATATTGTTAATATTAATTGTTAATTTTGACTTAAATTAAACATTGAATTCTAATTTGTACCAAACGGAGACATCATTTGAATGAATGAGACATGAGTATTTGTTGGGAGGAGTTCACAAATTAGTTCATAGATCAACAAAAAAATATGTGCTAACAGAAACGAAAAATGAACACAAATTGAATTGTAATAATAAGAGCAAGAAACTTTAGAATTGAAAAGAACTGTATCTTGTATTATTCGAAAAAAAGCCCATTGGCCAAACTTCATACAATCAGTGCCTCAATCTCCAAGAATAACCACAGTTATGCTTGAATCAAGTTCCAAAGTAAAGATACAAAAAAGATGACACTCAGACTCGACCGTTTATATCACAAAAATGAGACATCTCTTCACAATAGCACACGGTTCACACAAGAACCAACACTCAAATAGAGCAATCACACAAGATTATACACTATTGAGAGAAAAATCAGAAATCAAATGAGTATATTTGTTTTTGCACCAAG